CGACCATATCATGAAAGGATAGGGCGACGAAATTGAGGACAGCAGCTCGGTTGGATGACCGATAGTAGGCGCGTACCGCTGACACTTCTCGCACTTTGCTGTAAATTTCTTGCAGTCCTTGACCATCGTAGGCCAGAAGTATCCGTGCCGTTTTATCTTGATCGCTAAGGACCTTCCGCTAGAATGATTGCCATACGCGCTGCTTGCACCTCGTGCATTATTTTCCTTGCTTTGGATCCTTCGACGCACTTCATTAGTGGTCCTGCAAACCTCCATTTGAATACTTCACCGTCGACGAGGACGTACCGTGCGGCTTGAGCCTTTAGTTTGTGAGCCTCCCATTTGTCGGATGGGACTTGTCCATCGGTGATGTAGACTCGAATTGCTCTGAGCCATTCATTGTCGCAGTCATATTCTTGCTCGGGTGAAGAGGCGTCTTCTTCCATTGCAGTTGCCTCGTCGTTATCTGGTTCTTCCTCCGGGAGGTCGATCAGCCGAACTCCTTCTACTACTTCTATGCTCGTCCATTCGATGAGTTCGACCAGAATTTTTCTTTAGATATCGTGATCCGAGGTTGAGGCGAGTGCTGCTAAGGCATCCGCCGAGGTGTTTTCCCCTTGGGGTATTCATGTGAGCTTGAACTCGTCGAACTGTTCTAATAAGTTATGGACTACTCTGTGGTATGCTCCCATTCTTCCATCATTCAATGATTCGTACTCTACTTCGTTGTTCGAGGCGTGGAAATTCAGGCGGAAAGACTGCTCCAAGATTTCTCCTGTTGGCGAGGTAAGGCGAATTCCTATTCCCGAGCTGGTTTTGACGACGAGACGTCGACATGCAGTGTCCAAACTTCATCCGGAATCAGCTCGATTGTTGTCTCGGTTGAGACTTCAATGAGGAAATTTGCGAGCACATGAGATTTTGCGGAAGACCTATTCTGATACTCGATATCATACTCGCTTAGCTTGATGGCCCATTTGGCGAGCTGTCCTAACTGGCTCGGGCTATGCAGAATTAAGCGCAATGGAAGGGTTACGAGCACCACAATCGAATGTGATTGAAAATAGGGACGCAGTTTGCAAGCCGACATTACGACAGCTAGGGCGACCTTCTCAATCTCCAGGTAGCGAGTCTCGACATCGATTAATGTCTGACTAACATAGAAGATGGGCTTTTGTTCTCCGCACTCCTCTCTTATTTATACTCCGCTTACAGCCGTGGCGGATACGGCGATGTAAAGGAAAAGCGGTTCTCCTTCTAATGGTTTCGTCTAGACTGGTGGGCTCGCTAAATAGTTTTTAACTACTGGAAAGCTGCTTCGCATTGCTCGTCTCATTCAAAAACTTCTTATTCCCACGGAGGATATCATAGAAGGGAGGGCACTTGTCGGTAGACCGTGAGATAAATCGGTTTAGCGCAGCGACTCTTCCTGTGAGCCGTTAAACTTCTCGCTTCATTCTTGGAGAGAACATCTCGATACCTCGGTGTGTTACCAAATGCCGAGGAATTCTCCCGAGGTTACCGCGAATCTATACTTCGCCGGGTTTAGCTTCATATTGTGCTCGTTCAGTAGCTGGAAACAATCTTGTAGATGTGTGACATGATCCTTTTCTTCAAGCGATTTGACTAGCATGTCGTCGATGTACACCTCCATGGTTTTCCTGAGCTTAGCTGCAAACATCTTATTGATGAGCCGTTGATATGTTGCCCCAAAGTTTTTGAGTCCGAACGGCATGACTTTATAGCAATATATTCTGCGTTAAGTTATGAACGCCGTTTTCTCTCTGTCGTCAGGATGCATCAAGATTTGGTTATAGCGTCCATGAATGTCTGCAAGTTGTTTCATGCCGTAGCATCGACAAGCCGGGGAAGTCTGTGAAGTCTATGCAGATTTGGGCAAGCCTTGTTGAGTCTGTGAAGTCTATGTAGACTCGCCATTTGCCGTTTTTCTTCTTCAACACCACTGGGTTTGCGAGCCAGTCCGGATATTTTGCCACAGCGATCGATCCTACTTTGAGCAGTCTTTCCACTTTGTCGTTGACAGCTTTAGCTCGTTCAGGGCCAAGCTTTCTCCGCTTCTGCTTGATTAGTTTGAAGGTCGGATCTACGTTTAACTCGTGACAGGTCACGTTGATGCTTATGCCCGGCATATGTACCGCACTTCAGGCGAAAGGAAAGGAGTTCGTTCTTCAAGGGCTCTCCTAACTTGGCTTTGATCTTGACGCACACCGAGTCCACCGCATCGCATATTGGCTTGACGCGTGTCTCGCGGTTCTCCACGATCTTTAATTGCTATAAGAGTTTGGAGAGCTCTCGGTCCGTCTTAAGATTCTTGCAATCCACATCGGCGCCTGCATCAGTGACGGGATTCCTTAATTTGTGCTCCGTCAGGAAACACATTCGCGACTCTTTTTAATTTCTCCAAATCGTCTTGATGCCTGCTAGAGTCGGGAACATGATGCAGAGGTGATTGGTTGAAGGGATTTCTCTCATAGCATTAATCCATGGAGTTCCCATGATCATGGTGTAGATCGTTGGTTGGTCGGTGACTGAAAATTCGATGATCTTGGTGACTCCTCCAGCTACCACAGGAAGTCTGATCGTGCCCATATTTATCGTTGTTTCTCCTGAAAATCCAGTTAGAGGCTTAGGGGTAGCCATCACCTCGGAGAGGTTGATTCCCATTCTTTTGAGTGTCTCCCTGAAGATAACATCCACCGAGCTCCCAGTGTCGATGAGTACTCTTACCACGTCATAGTCTCTAATCGTCAGTTCAATCACCAGTGGATCAGTGTGCGGCCTATCTGTTCATGTCGTTTCCTCCTCGGCAAAAGAGATCACCGTATTTGGGAGGTCGGTTGGTTCGGCCCCGTTCTCCTTTGCTTCTGCTCGGCGCTGATAGGCTTTGATAGAGGACACCGTGTCTTGGTAATGTTGGGATCAACCCATAATCATGTTGATCCTTTGCCTCGGCTCAGATCGTTCCTCGGGTTTGCCTCTCCTGTCGCGCTTGGTATTGTCACCTCTTCGGGTAGATTTTTTGCTTCTACCGCGCTATTCGGCTTGGTTCCCTCCTTGGGTTCAGTAGGGGCGAGGTTTTTGAGATTCACTGCGCTCTAGAGTTCTTCTGCTGTCATTTTAGCTACAAGCTTCGCTCCCAGAGTTCAGCACTACGCTGTTAAATGCCGTGGGTTTGGTGATATTCGCAAAACGCTTTTTCGTCGTAGTTGGTAGGCCTCCTCACCCAAATGTTGTTATGTGGCTCACCTCTTCCGTGGCCAGCACCTACTTGGTAACTGTGGGCGCCTCCGCTCCTTGGTTCTTCCAAATTCTGAATCGTTGTACTATTCGAGGGATGACCTTTCCTTGAGGGGTGCGTCAGGATCGAACTCCGGATTGCTGCTTTTGTTGTTTCGTACTATTCGTCCAGATTTTTCTTCTCTTCTTCGTTTATGACAAAGTCTGATGATCGATGTAAGGCATCCTGAATTGTCTGCGGTGTGTTGAGCACCATCTCCCATCGAAATTTGGATTTGTACCATAAAGATCCCTTCAATGCTTCAAGTGCAGCCTTGTCTCTTATTCCTTCTATTTTGAACACGACCGCTTTGAATCTTGCCATGTAATCTCAAAGTGGCTCGTTCGATCATTGGGATAACGTCCATATGTCAGCGTCAGAAGTTCCTCGGTCCAGGAACATTGAGTACTGCTTCATGAACATTGGGAGAGCTGCTGAAAACCGTTGATCGAGTTGTGCTCCTGCCTTGAAAACCATTCCAGTGCGGTTCCTTGAGATGATCTACGAAGAGCAGATAGTAACCGGCATCCTTTTCCTGCTCGGTCAGATTGGCGGCGTTCTTTGTGAAGGCTCGTCCCATTGCTATGCGAATGCTGTGATATGCGCCTTCGGGTCGGTCATACCTTCATAAATCGGGATTGTGGCATTCCCCGGTTCAGAAATCCTAGCCTCCGTTATTCTTGCCATGAACGGGGTTCTTTGAGTTTCTTCGAGCATTCGATCAATTTCCGGTGCGACACTTATCGCGTTATGCACTTGAGACTTTATGGCGCGTATCTCTGCCACTTTCCAAGCCATTGAGGCTCGCAACTCTTCCATCTCCGAGGTTTGCGCGCGTGTCATTCTCCTAGGTGGGAGAGGTCGCTCCTAGTCTTCTCTCCTCGGCGCGTCTCCGTACTCCGCCGGCTCGACCCATTGGAGGTTCTCCTCTTTTTTAAGTTGGATCGTTATAGTGATTTGGATCGGTGACTCTGTCAGTTTGGATGCTATTAAGCGCCGAGGCGAGCTCTTCTTGACTTATCTGCCGAGCCGAGCCATTTTGCTGCGAGTTTCTGGTTCCGTCACTCTGCTGGGAGTCCACGTCGATCACGTCGTTTTCCTCCTCATCACCTCTCCGTCTTGAATTCTGACAAAGCGGGGGTGGCTCGGTCATGTTGACTCAGGTTGCTGCTGGAGTTCGTTCGCCGAGGGGACGAAACATTCGTGGAGCCATGGGATTTCTTATGCCGCTACCGGATGCTCCTGCAGGTGTCGAGAAGTCGAAGCGCTTCCTGACTCCATCTATTGGATCGGAGATCCTAGCTCTCCAAGTCGGATGCTGTCTTTCAGCCGTTATTGCGTCGAGTCTCTCCGTGATCGCTTCGTTCCTCTTATCCTGCTCGTCGATTTTCTTCATCAATGTGGCCATCATATTCTGCATCTCCTCCTGCGCTTCGGTAGTTGTCGTTGTCGTGCTTGGTGGTGGAGCGTCCTTCTCTGCGCCGTTGTTGTTGTTGTTCTCGTTGTCGGAAGCGTTGCTTGCCATGATCTTATAGTCTTGTCGATTTTAAAGTAAGAAATTTTGATGTCCCTACAGACGGCGCCAAATTGTGTGAGCCAAAACTCGCACAACCAAAAATTTGTTAAGGAAAACTTAAGGAATCCAAAATTTATAGGGTTTATCACAAGAACAGTAAGATTGAAAGAGGGTTTTTTTTGCTGGAAAAGTGTTTTAGTCTTATTGCTCTCGAGTCGGTAAAAGTTACATAATGAATCGATTACATTGATTATTTATACTCAATCTTTAAACCGTCTAGCCGAAAATCTCGGGAAATATTTTTGGAATATTTATTTATCACCTTGTGCGGCCGCTGCCATATCGCTTTGTCTAGAGTTTCTATGTGCCTTACATCTTCGTGGCTAGGCCCACTAGTTGTTGGAGTCTGCTTACTGAAGCGTCACGCTGTTTGTCCCAACTCATCGAGGCGCGGCTCGGCCCATGTCTCACAGTACGACTCGGCCGACTTACTCCCTCTGCAGGGCTCGGTCAATCCAACTAAGAAGCAGCTCGGCTCGACCTATGTCTCCTCGTGCGCAGCTCGGTTTTTCCTTTGCGGGGCTCGGTTTTTCCAGGTACCTAGTCATTTTCGAGATGGTTAAAATGTTTGGGGTGAAATCGACCCCAACAAACTCCACTAATCTAACTCGTTCAATCCTTAGACAACACTTCATTAATTCATCCATAGCCATTCAGTGTAACTTTAATCCATCATTGGTCTTCTTTGAACCGCACCAACTTGGATCTTGAGTGAAAGTCTTCGGCCTTGTCTTCTTGACTTCAGCCTCGCCTCTTCTTCTCTTCTTCCTCTCTAATACTCCCCCGCAAGCTTGGTCGTCGAGACCCCAAAGAGGCCTAGAGGCCAAGCTTCCAACACGCCATACTACGTCATTAAAAACCTTCATAAAGAAAACATCTTGGGATAAAACTTATGAAGGTAAAAAGAGTATAGTTTAATGATTGCTTGATATAGCTATGAACTTGGTTTGAAATTCAGAATTGGCACCATCTTCCAAGTGTTTCCATTCCTGTTAGCCCATCTTGACTTGATTTCTCTTCACAAGAACCTCTTCATTCCTCCTATTGCTTCTTTTAAAATTTTCACACATTCCTCCTCTCCTTTAAACCTTCATCATGAGATTTAAATAAAATTTTTAAAGTATATGTTGTGGGGTTTTAAGAAACATAAATGAAACTTGTGTTTTGCAAAAGGAGAAAATACTAAAGCATAATGGACTCAGGTAATGAAATTAACAAATCAAAAATGGGATACAGTTTAGAGTTTACCCTTTTGAGATGAAGAGGACTTCGAGGATTTTGAGATGCAGTTTTGCTCCATGAGACATTGCATCGATTTGTCTCTCCATTTGAGGTTTATCCTCCTCCGCACTTCTTGACTTGGATATGGTTTGACACCACATCTTGACACCTTGTGGATTTCCTGAACCCCATCAGCTATACACATACACAAACGCTTTGGGATTGTTTCAGAGCCTTCCACCAGCTTTCCTCTACACTTGAACTTCCACCTTAGCCACCTTGGGGTCTGTTATCTTCAGGTCAGCCTCTTTGGTCCGCCATCATCAAGTCAGCCGGGTTAAGACTAGATTGGGCTTGTCTTGTGGTCTCCAAAGCTTGATGGTTACTGGTTCAAACTCCAAGCATTATGTTGGGCGTCTTTTTCATGGCTTTCTTGAAGCCTTTAGTGTTTGAATCTAGCCTCATGACTGTTTCAAAACACTGCACACTCGCTATGCTTTCATGAGAGAGAAAGCGATCCCAAATGAAAACAAAACACCATCTCACTGTTTGAAATTTTAAACATTTGAATTATTTATGATAGTGAGAGGTTGAGAGAATAAAGAATTAGGAGATTGGTGAAGAATAGAGAGAATAGTGGAAGAAAACAGAATTTAGAGAATGGAGGAGAATAGACAAAATACGCGGAAGCAAAATAGAATGGAGAATAGAGAATTTGCTCAAGAGTTCAAATGGACAGATTTTTGCTCTGTTTTTCCTAAGTTTTGCGGAAGCAAAGAGAACCAAGAACAACCAAGAACAGCAAGAACTTTGGTGTATTAATGGCTTTAAAAATAATTACTCACATTATCACACATGGAGAAGAATTTTCTGTGAGCTTTAAACAACAAGAGCAAAGAAATAACACAAGACTTAGTGTTTTCCATGACTTTAAACAAGAGAAAAAAATTGTCTTGAATAAAAATGGTGAAAAACGAGGAAAGTCACTGCTCTGATACCATGTTGGAATTTATGAAAATGAGAAAAGGAACAATCAACTTGCGACAGAACCAACACAAAGAACTTGATAGAACCTCACCAAGGTGAATGAAACTGATTCTATAAAGGAGAGAAATAAATCTATATGAGACTTAACCTGAGGAGTAATACAACACAATAGAGTTTTTATACTCAAAAGAAGGATCAGAATCAGTAAATTGATTCATTATTAAGAGAGAAATAACAAGAGAACTAGAAATTGTTCTTTAGTAGAGAATGAGAAAAGCAAATGAATCACTCTTGAATTACTTAGGAAAGGATGAATTAAAGAGTGTATTTGGCTGCTATAAGCAGCCCTACACGTGTTCTTACTTAGTCTACATTGTGACTTTAGGACAAGAACACAAGAGAAAAATAAGAGAGATAATATTGTGTAAAATACTTGTGTATATTAAGATGATTCTTGTGACCATATTACAGACATATATATATATAGCGAATTAAACATGAGAAACCTAGTGTGAACATTTTAAAATATCGTTCTGTATTACAAGGAAAGACAGAGTCACATGCTTCTTTATTTAGTGTTCACACTATTGAAAGTGACAGCTCACAAACGGTCACATACGACTAAAGCCACATGTGAGTCCAGACTCCAATTCAAATCGGTTTCCCTTCTCTTCTTGTCACTTATGGGCTTTGTCTTGCATACACTGGGCTTTATTCCTTCTCATTCTTGCCCTTCTTGGATATGGGCCTCGCCCTTCTTGCAGATGAACCTCAGCCTTGATCTTCTTGTAGATGTGCCGAGACTAAGTGATTGAGTCTCACTAGAATGTAGAGCTGTACGGTCTCTTATCAGCCTCTAACGGTCAGATATCAATCCGCAGCTCACCACACAGTCTTGATCTGTATGGACGCTTATCGGTCTTCAGCCTTTAAGCGTCCTACTTCCTGATCTATTGAGAACTCCACTTATCTAACTCCTTCAATCCTTACACAACACTTCATTAACTCCTCCATAGCCTCTCAATGTAACTTTAATCCATCATTGGTCTTTTTTGAACCGCACCAACTTGGATCTTGAGTGAAATTCTTCGGCTTTGTCTTCTTGACTTCGGCCTCACCTCTTCTTCTCTTCTTCCTCTCTAATACTCCCCCACAAGCTTGGTCGTCGAGACGCTAAAGAGGACCACAGGCCAAGCTTGCAACACGCCAAACTACCTCATTAAAAATCTTACTAAAGAAAACCTCTTGCAATAAAACTTTATGAAGGGAAAAAGAGTATAGGTTAACGATTTCATGATGTAGCTATGGCCTTGGTTTGAAATTCAGAATTGGCACCATCTCCCAATTGTTTCCATTCCTTTTAGCCCTTCTTGACTTGATTTTTCTTTGCAAGAACCTCTTGTTTCGTCCTATTGCTTCTTTTGAGAATTTTCACATATTCCCCCTTGATAACACCGTATTTTGACCACTTTTGTGGATTGTTTTTAAATGCTTTTCAAATGCTTTTTATTTCTTTTAAGTGTTTTAAGTATGGTTTCTAGCACTTGCAGATATCTAGGGTTATAATTTTTAAAACATGAAGCAGCGAAGTCAACCCTAGCAGCATCACTCCTCTCCTTTAAACCTTCATCATGAGATTTAAAGAAAACTTTTATGTTGTGGGGTTTTATGAAACATAAATTAAACTTTGAGTTTTGCAAAATGAGAAAATACTAAAGCATAATGGACTCAGGTAATGAAATAAACAAATTAAAAATGGGATACAGTTTAGAGTTTACACTTTTGAGATGAAGAGGACTTTGAGGATTTTGAGATGCAGTTTTGCTCCATGATACATTACATCGATTTGTCTCTCCATTTGAGGTTTATCCTCCTCCGCACTTCTTGACTTGGATATGGTTTGACACCACATCTTGACACCTTGTGGATTTCCTGAACCCGATCAGCTATACACATATACAAACGCTTTGGGGTTGTTTCAGAGCCTCCCACCAGCTTTCCTCTACACTTGAACTTCCACCTTAGCCACCTTGGGGTCTGTTATCTTCAGGTCAGCCTCTTTGGTCTGCCATCTTCAAGTCATCCGAGTTAAGACTAGATTGGTCTTGTCTTGTGGCCTCCAAAGCTTGATGGTTACTGGTTCAAACTCCAAGCATTATGTTGGGCGTCTTTTTCATGGCTTTCTTGAAGCCTTTAGTGTTTGAATCTAGCCTCATGACTGTTTCAAAACACTGCACACTCGCTATGCTTTCATGAGAGAGAAAGCGATCCCAAATGAAAACAAAACACCATCTCACTGTTTGAAATTTTAAACATTTGAATTATTTATGATAGTGAGAGGTTGAGAGAATAAAGAATTAGGAGATTGGTGAAGAATAGAGAGAATAGTGGAAGAAAACAGAATTTAGAGAATGGAGGAGAATAGACAAAATACGCGGAAGCAAAATAGAATGGAGAATAGAGAATTTGAAGAGTTCAAATGGACAGATTTTTGCTCTATTTTTCCTAAGTTTTGCTGAAGCAAAGAGAGCCAAGAACAACCAAGACCAGCAAGAACTTTGGTGTTTTAATGGCTTTAAAATAAATTACTCACATAATCACACATGGAGAAGAATTTCTATGAGCTTTAAACAACAAGAGACAAGAAATAACACAAGACTCAGTGTTTTCCATGACTTTAAACAAGAGAAAAAAACAGACTTGAATAAAAATGGTGAAAAACGAGGAAAGTCACCAAGAAAGACTGCACTGATACCATGTTGGAATTTATGAAAATGAGAGAAGGAACAATCAACTTGCGACTGAACCAATACAAAGAACTTGATAGAACCTCACCAAAGTGAATGAAACTGATTCTATCAAGGAGAGAAATAAATATATATGAGGCTGAACCTGAGGAGTAACACAACACAATAAGAGTTTTTATACTCAAAAGAAGGATAAGAATCAGTAATTTGATTCATTATTAAGAGAGAAATAACAAGAGAACTAGAAATTGTTCTTTAGTAGAGAATGAGAAAAGCAAATGAATCACTCTCGAAGCCTATCACTCCGTCGCGGTGGCATTGGTGTCTGCTCCATCGGCGGGAGCAGCCGCGTGACTCCCAAAGTTGCTGTGCACTTGCGCCTTGACGATTTCAAAGGTCTCAGTAGCATGACGGATGTTTATCAGAAGAACAACTGTAAATCGAAGAGGCTAATCGGAGAGGCTGGCCGAGAGATTGACAATGTCAAGGTGGATCCGATTTGTGTTTTTTTTTTATGTATACGAGAAATTAGTAATTGGTTCAACTTTGGTTTATGAAATTAAAATTTACAAGAAAAAAAATTGAACATCGGTTTAGCAAATTGGGTTTTACAAGAAATATATTGTTATTTCTGTTCGACAATGGCAATTGTAGTAAATAAAAAAAGCTGCGATAGAGGCCTCACCGAAACATAAACAGTAAAAATTACCCAATCCTTTATGTGATTTAAAAACTATTCGTTTCTCAAATTAAAAACTTAAAAACTATCCATTCAACAATTTTCTCTTAGAAATATATATATATATATATATATATATATATATTAAAACGATATTTGTGAGAGTAACATAGACGAAATGAGTTGTAGACAAGAGAGAGAGCACATGGTAAACTTTTCTTATATTACAAATTTTGGCATTAAATCTGACTAGTACATCAGGCTAACTCTATGCGGTAAAATGGACTAAAGTATAGAAAACTAGAGGTAGAATTGTTCTTAGTAAAGTAGCACATTGGCCTGAATAGTAATTTGTCAATCAGCTAATTATGCGGGAATCCGTTATAGAATATAAATTTTCTAAAATAAAAAGGTCTAAGTTTTTGTTCATGAGCTGGTAAAGTCGAGATCAATATTCAAGAATATATATGTCTGGCCGACCCAGTTAAGTTGCCGACAGTTTCACTAAAGCTTTTGATAGAAATTTATTTAAGATACTTTTTGAACAAACTTAGTCAAAGGTATTTCAAGAGTAATTTGTTAAATATCTACAGTATTTCTCTTTGTGTAAACCCTAGAGGAACAAGGTTATATTTTTTATATGTTCTTAAATTTTTGTACGTACTTATCTTACAGAATTGTATATGTCATACCTTCAAGAAAACAATAAGAATCAACGTGCTTGTGAAACATCTGTACTTAACAAGGGCATACGTGATTAACCTTATATTTACATTGTTCTTGTAAACGCATATACATACGTGGGCAGATATATTTACATACTGGCATCTTGACATATCACATGATATCCATGACCAGATATCTAGTAAAATGTAAACGACGTGATTAGTGGAAAAGTTATCTTTTGATGAAATTGTAGTTGCCAAATATGATTTTAAATAGGCATTGGTCATGCTCGAATAGACGATATTAATAATTTTATCTTTAGTATTAAAATACATCTATATAAACTTGTTCAGTGTCGCAAAATTGTCTCCGTACAGAAGTTTATTTATTTTTCCCTAATCATGAAGAGCTTGATTTTAATGACAACACTTCTTGTAGTGCTGCTTTGCGTCATCTCTCTCCCAATTTCAACCGTAGCATTCCCAAAGAAACTATGGCCTAAGTCATCAAAACTAGCGGCAAGCCACCACCATCACAAAGGCTCTGACGGCCTCAGATACTCCAAGGTTGCTTGGGCTAGCTCTTCTGTCTCAGGGCCTAATGTACCTTCATCGCCTTCCATATTGCTTCTAAGGCTTTCTAGCATCCCAGAAATTTTCAAAATCCCAGAAATACCAAACACCCCGAAGATTCCTAATATCCCAATGATTCCTAATGTTCCAGGACTTCCAAACATCCCAGAAATCCCTAAGATTCCAAAGATTCCTAACATCCCGAGCATTCCCAACATCCCCAACATTCCCAACATCCCAGGAATTCCTAACATTCCAGGACTTCCAAACATCCCAAACATTCCCAACATTCCAGAAACCCCTAACGTTCCAGGAGTTCCAAACATCCCAAAAATCCCTAACATTCCGAATATTCCTAACATACCAGAGATCCGTAACACTTCGGGCTTCCCTAGCCTCCTGAGAATTTCTCCTTTATCACCATTCCACTCTTTATTGCAATCAGCTGAAATGGAAAAGTGTTTGACGAAGGAGGTATCAAAGAAAGCTGAGAAATGCTTTTCACATATATTCTCGAGCAGGGCAGAGAAGAATTTTGCATTAGACGAAATCTGCTGTGAAATAGTTGTGAAGATGGGCAACAAGTGCAATAGCCACGTTGGCATGTTCTTCAAGAGTCGCTTCTTCGCTCCTCTTCTTCACTACTCATGCCACATCAAGAACACCAAAAACTAAGCAAGTTCCTCCAAGGGATGTATAGTATGATATGTTAGCCGTTTATTTGTTATTTCTAATGATCATTCTCAGTTCTCACATGGGACATTTCATGAATTGTTCTTCCTTGAGTAATAAATAATAGTTTATTTATAGAACCATACAAAATTCTGTCCTTACGTACAGATTTACTTTCGTTTTGATTGGCATAAAAACCGGAACCAAAAAACTGAACCGGAACCAACCCGAAATTACCGGTTCGGTTCGGTTTCGGTTCTTGCATAAATACCCGTTGGATCCTGTGATTGAGATCCATGGATCTCGGTTCAGTTCCGGGTAATATCCAAAACCCGAGGTACCAAACCGAAGACCCAAAAATTGTTGGTTTTAGTTGGTGGGTTTAGCCCATGTAAAACGAAATTATGGCTCATACACTCAAACAAAATGTTGGACTAGACTTGTAAAATTTTGGCCCAAAAAGAAAGAAATGAATTAAAAAAAGTGTGCATCCTATAACCCTAATTCTGGCAGACACATTCTCTCTCGACCAAACTGATTCATTTTCTCATTCTTAACACATATATAACCCTAATCCTTAATCAGACAGAAAAATTGGAATCCGCAAATTTCAAAAGCCGTCGCGTTTCCTCGCCGGCTCCACCGTCTGCTACATCAAAAGTTCAGTCAGAGGTATGTTCGTCTTCCATCTCCTTCTCATTTTCGATTTCATTTGAGTTTCATTTTGAATGGGTTTTGCTGAAAAATTTTCGATTTGGGGTTTCGGACTAAACGTTTCAATAGAGCTAATTTCTTCTTTGATTTTTCATTTCCACTAAGAGTTATACATAAATCGAGTCTCTATAGTGTCTTTAATTAGTTTTTTCGATTTAGGGTTTACTGTTCATATATGAAATCAATTTGGGGCTAACTGTTTCTCTTTGTTTAAAAAAGAAATAGACATCATTTCCTACTTCTTTATTCATTTTTACAACGAATTAGGGTTATAACTCGATCTGGGTTTTACTTATTTTAGTTTGCGGGTTTAGTAAGAAAATGATTAGGGATAACTCCTTTTGTCATTTGAATGCTTCTGTTAGTACTCGGCTTAGATTGTTTGTGAGTTTTGATTGCTTGTGTTGTATCAATACATTATATTAGTTTGATTATGAGTTATGAATGCTTCTTAGTTATCGAGTGTACAAGTTGTTGTATCGATAGTTTCATGTCATTGTATTATGACTTCTGATGGGTTTGGTCTTGTTAATATGATGCAGATGGCTTCTAATCAAGGTTCACCGAACGTTAATGAAGAACCAGTTTTTGAAGATGACCTTGAAGTTACCGAGGACGAAGTTGAGACTCCTACTCCTACGTCTGCTAATAAAGGGAAACAAAAAGCTTCGGGGAATAAGAAAGGAAGGAAGAGGACAAGATCTGATGTGTGGAACCATTACACAAGAGCGAAGGAAGACTTTGACAAGTGCAACTGTCATTACTGTGGGAAGGAAATGGGGTGTGCAACTACATCGGGCCACCTCTAATCTGATCAAGCATCTAAGATTCTGCAAGCAGCATCTTGCGTATGTAGCAGCAAAGCAACCGGATGATCAACAACAACTGGATGCAGAGACTGGAGACGGTTTAAAGCTGTGTAAGGTGTCTGATGCGGTGATTAGGGAAGCTTCAAACGAAATGGTCATTCTAGCTAGTTGCCTCTGTCTTTTATAGACAGCCTGGGATGGAGACATTTCTGTGCTAGAGTCAAACTGCCCAAGCCACACTCTCGGAGAACAGCGACTCGAGACATAGTGGAGATGTATGTGAGGAAGAAAGCACTTCTGAAGAAAGCACTTGCGGCCAATAAGCAGCGGCTCTCCTTGACGACTGACATATGGACGGCTCCAACAACGATGGCTAGTTATATGGTGATAGCTGCACACTTCATCGACAACAACTGGCAGTAGAAAAAATTCATCATTGGTTTCAAACACATTAGTGACCACAAAGGGTCAACTATAGCTACTGTTCTGCTAGACTGCTTAGCTGAGTGGGACATCAAGAAGATCTTCTCCATAACGGTTGACAATGCAACAGCAAACTCAAGTGCTATGAGTTTGTTTAAGGACGAGTTCAGATATGTCAGAGATGATGCACTAGTTCTCGATGGTGAGTATTTACATTTAAGATGTGCTACTCACATTCTTAATCTGGTTGTGAAGGATGGACTGCACGTTGTGGACAAGAACATTGCTGCCATTCGGAATGGTGTACAGTTTGTGAGGTCGTCTACACCAAGGCTGATGTCATTCGAGCTTCGTGTTGATACGGGGAAGATGACGAGAGGGAGTCTGTCTCTGGATTGCAAAACAAGGTGGAATTCAACATATCTGATGTTGAATAGAGCGATGGATTTCAAGGTGGCTTTTGACAAGATGCAGGCTGAGGACAAGTTGTACAACGACTACTTCAAGGAAAAAGTTGATGGGACAAAGAGGATTGGCCCGCCTATGGAAGAAGATTGGGACGCAGTGGACAGGTTACTTCACTTCCTTCTCATCTTTTACAATTCAACGCTTGTCCTCTCTGGAACTAACTCCCCTCGTGCGCATAAGTGTTACAATGAGATGGTGACAATTGAGAGAAACCTGATATTACTGAGCCTAGATGGCGATGATGAGCTTAAGAAGAAAGCAGCAGCTATGATTGCAAAGCTAGGCAAGTATTGGGATCCGTTCGGTTTTGAAACCGAGATGAATCGGATGCTGATAGTAGCATCCGTGTTTGATCCAAGGAATAAGATGAAGTTTTCCAAGCTTTGTTTTGATAAGCTTTATGGGCCAGATAGTGCAATTGCTACGCAGATGAATGAGTCCATCTTGGAGATTCTACAGAGGTTGTTTGATGAGTACAATGTCAGGTCTGGTGGTTCTGTCAACCAATCTTCAACTCCTACGACTAGTACATGTACGTTTTCTCAGTCACAGGTTAGTGGATCATCGAATGGTGCATCTAGTTCTGGAACTTCTCAGGACTTAGGTAGAACTAGGAACCGTAGATTGAACTTGGCTGGTCGTTCTCGCTATGAAAGGATGGATTTAGTTTACAAAGAGATGGTACAAGAGACAGGGTTTCAGGAAATTAGCTCTGAGCTAGATTTGTACTTGTCCGAGAATGTGGAGAATCCACATATATTTGAGGGAACCGATTATGATGTACTCTCATGGTGGAAGGTCAATACTTCTAAGTTTCCGGTTCTGTCACAAGTGGCTAGGGATATATTAGCAATGCAGGTTTCATCGGTTGCATCAGAGTCTGCATTTTCCACAAGTGGTCGCATCTTGGATCCTAGCAGGAGTTGCTTGACACATTACACCATCGAAGTTCTCATGTGTACTGAGCAATGGCTTAAGTCGGAGATACGTATGGACCGTAGAGGAAGCATTACCATTGAGCAGCTACTTGATGAGATAGAAGACCAGGAAGATCTTCAAAGAGGTAAGTCAGCATAATCTATTACATTTTTCAGTTATAAGTACTAACATTACTTATATGACTTTATTTGTTTGCATTTTACAGAGTTTGGAGATATGAATCTGGAAGACTAAGGAGTCAATGAAGTATCAAAGACTGTATTTGTGGTAAAGACACACTTATGAATTACCCTAAACATTTACGAGTGTACTTTGGTATGTATTTTTGGTGATAGTTTACTCGTTTTTTTGATTGCAGATTAGGAGTCTCATTCTCTGAAGTCAAGAATCTCAGTCGACTTATGCTTATGTTTTTGCCTCTTTGGCTTTTGGATGTTGAACTTCTTTTATTTATGCATTTCTCTATGCTTCTCAAACTCGGATTTGTTTTATGTATTTGATGTTGCTACATCGTCTTCCAGACTTCTACTTTTGCTTTTCAAACTTGATGATGACTTATGTTTAAGGGATTTGGTACTTTTTAGTTCTTATTTGTTTGCAGATCGGGTTTTTTTTATCAGTTTTGGTTACTTTTGCACATTTCGGATACAAATATGGATTTCGGATACAAAAATACCCGATTAATTTAAGAACCAAAACATTTCGGTTTTTATCGGTTCCTAGTAATTTATACCCGAACCAAACCGGAACCGAAGGTACCGAAATGAAACCGAAAACCGAACTTCATTCGATACCACTTCGGATTTTCTTCATCTATACCCAAAATATCCGGAACCATTCGGTTCCTACCCGGAACTGAACCGGCTATCCGAATGCCCTGGACGAGTTTTGATCGAATTTGTTGATTACACAAATAATAATTAGTTTAATTACTTAGTTAACGTGAAAAAAAAACTTCCTGTTTAGAATTTGTTTGCTTATCACAAATGCTCCGTTCGAGCAAGATTGTTTATATACCTCTGTGTAGACGAATTATTGTTTCTTTCGTTTCTATTTAGGCTTGTTCTTCAAAACTACGTGCCTAAATAGAGGTCTATTATCACTATAGCCTTTGAAGGTTTCTATGTAGGCTCATTCTTGCTCCGTTCGAGCTAGCTAGCTAGAATGTTTATAGACCTCTGTGTAGACTTACTTTTCCTTTCGTTTCTATTTAGGCTTATTTAAAAAAAAAAAAACTATGTGCCTAGTGCCTATCAATTATCAATATAGCCTTTAAAGATTTTTTTTTCTTCGTCAAGAATAGAAATTAGAAGGAACACGAAGCATATTCCCCCCAAAATATCATATTCACTTGAAGAAGTCGTATCTTATTTTTCCAAAGAGTTTTATTCTTTGCTATTTTTTTTTGTTTTTGTTTTTGCATCAGATTATCTGTTGACAAAATAAAAATCTGCAACATGTTTTATAGACAACCACGCGATTGACATTTTCAAAAACACACACCCGAGAAAACATAATTAAATGAGGATTCAGTTTCACTATCTGACAAAATCCGGTAAAATATATCTTAAGATTCTATATGACGTATCAGTATCCACAAATACAGGAACTTGTGTAATCTTCCTCTTACATTATACAAAACCAAAAAACAAACAAAAATACAAGTAGGTTAACTTTCCTTCTTCCCCTATATAATCTATTCCACCTCCATAAAATTGCATCCCTACACTCATTCATTTCGCACACACTCAACAATGAAAAGCCTCATCATCGTTCTCTGTCTCACCATTATTCAGACAACAACGATCGGAGGATGGCCAAAACCTTCGGAAATCTCCAATAACGCAATGCTAATAAATACCGACCACCACCGTTACTACGGTAGTAAATTTAGTTTTGAAGATTCCAAAGTTTGGAAATGTGTTTATAACAACGGATGTGGAGCCGCTGTCTCTATATCTTACCCTGGACCTCCACAACCACCATCGAAAAAGCCACCAACTCCATCGTCTCCTCCTCCAACATCAAATATGTCTCCACCACCACCTAAACCATCACCGCCTCCACCAACTCCTAGAATGTCTCCTCCACCTCCAAAAAAATCTCCTCCGCGTCCCAAACAATCTCCTCCGCCTCCTAAACCATTACCTCCGCGTCCCAAACAATCTCCTCCGCCTCCTAAACCATCACCTCCGCGTCCAACTCCAAAGAGGTCTCCTCCGCCTCCTAAACCTTCACCTCCACGTCCAACTCCAAAGAGGTCTCCTCCGCCTCCTAAACCATCACCTCCGCGTCCAACTCCAAAGAGGTCTCCTCCGCCTCCTAAACCATCACCTCCACGTCCATCTCCAAAGAGGTCTCCTCCGCCTCCTAAACCATCACCTCCACGTCCAACTCCAATGAAGTCTCCTCCGCCTCCTAAACCATCACCTCCACGTCCAACTCCAAAGAGGTCTCCTCCGCTTCCTAAACCATCACCTCCACGTCCAACTCCAACTCCAAAGAAGTCTCCTCCTCCGCCTCCTAAACAATCTCCTCCGTCTTATAAACCATCAACGCCATCACCTACACCCAAAATTACACCACCACCTCATGCACTATCGCAGCTTCCTCTTCTATCATCACCCCCGGTTAGTATCATTTTGTTAAAGTCCATGATGTTTTTAATAACAATTGCAGGCAAACCTCTGTAAATTAATAACAATTGCAGGCAAACCTCTATAATTTCGAGACTGAAAATTTTATTGATTTATGAAGTATTAATTTTTAGAGGTTCTACAGTAGTTTATTACTCTCATTTTGTTTCGGTTTAGCTAGGTGATACTTAAATTTGGACAGAAATCAACATACGTTACAAAATACTTATCTTTTTATATAGGATATGTTACTAGACTATGATCTATAATTGGTTATGACATAATATTTTAGAAAACATTTTATGCATTCTAGATCGGCAACTCGCCTCCAATTCCCAAGAAGTCTCCACCTCCACCAAACGAGTCAACTCCATCATCACCGGAGCATCATTATCAGAATCCGGATCCAAATCCGTGGGGGCATTTTATCAGTTGCATGAGCGATTTTGGGCCGTCGGCAATATGTAAGCAGCAAATGGAGGTAAGTTACTACACAGGGAGGTTTCGTGTGAGTGACTATTGCTGCGACCTTATTGTCAACATGAGAAATGAATGTACTGATGTCATTTTAGGCTTCTACACTGATCCCTTCTTCGTTCCTTTGATTCGTTACACTTGCCACGTCAAGAACTAGCTTTTATTTGGGGGTTTTTGTTTACCCTTAAGTAATTTACTTGGTGTTCTTTAGTCATGTGGTTTTGTTGTCGTCCCATATCTTATAGACCGTTCTTTTGTTACATTTCACAAATAATAATTTTTTTTTCTACATCTTTCTCCTTTGTTTTTTTTCTTTTTGTGAACATTATCTTTCTCTTTTGTTAATACATATTCGCCAATGCAGATAAGATGAGAGAAGTATTTGCACTCTTTCATCAAACGATATTAATAAAGTAGAAAACTCTCAATTTTCTTCAGCTAAAAATAAAAATGGATTAAAACACGATTTGGACCTCTATTATGTTTTCCTGCAATAGTGTATTTTGTTATGAATACATTTAATTTATTTTGCTTTCGATCATGTAAAAATGATATATTATTTTAGTTTTCATATTATTATGGAACTCTTAAAAATATTCTATATTTTGAACCATTTTTAAAATATTTTAAAAGAGTAACTAAATCAGTGGCTGAGGTAGGTAGTAAAAAGATTATATTTACATGTACTTTTTGAAAGAAAAATAGGTAAACTGTTAAAAATGTAGCTTAATAACCCCTGTAAATTTTGCTCAAAATACATTGTAAATTAAAATTGACCCCTGTAAAATTTTTGGCTAGCTCCGCCACTGAACAAAATGGTCCAAATTGTATCCCTAAAATTTGTTGTAAACTAAATTTTGAAATATATAATTGGGTAAAAAAATGTTTGTAGACTAAACTTCGTAAACTACAAAATAGATATGAGAAAAAAGATCTAATTAAAGTGTTACTGATTTAAATATGTTGATTTTGTGATGGTTAGGTTGTTAGTGAGAATATAATATTTATGTTTATTTGGTGTGTATGTGTTTTAATTTTTAAGCGCGGGCCGAAAGGTTTTTTAAAAAAATAATTCAAAAATTTAAACCATTATTTGTTATTGATAGTAAACCGAATAAAAATTAATAATAATGTAAAACATGTGAATAAAATTTCATATTTACCACTTATTAAACTCTACATATTACACTTACATATACATAAATAAAAAAAATATTAAAAAGAGCAAATAACAGCAATTTAATATCGATCAATTACATGTCCATAAAAGATTTAGATTTTTTTTTCTATAGATTCCTAATATATATCTCCCTTTGTTCTTTCTCCAGAATCTCCATCATCATATTCTTCTTCCCCTTCATGAAATATTATTTCCACAATAGCTAGGTTTAATCTTTTCTCCTTCAACTTATCTTCCCCTCTTTTGTTCTCGTTGTTTACCTTCAAACATCTTCGCTATCTCTTCCATCTCGTCCTTCATATCAATCATACATTTCTTTGTTGTCAAAATTCATTCATCATTTTAACCAATGTTTTCTTGTAGCTTTTGTGATTTTTCTCTAGTAATTCAAACATGGTTTGGTACCCATTTAGCATTTTCGAATTCTTCTATCTCTTAAATTTCTTTGATTATAAATTGATTTTTTCGAGGGTCATTGCCATTTTCTTCTTTTGTATTAAAGTGTAAGTAAACAATCGATTTGGTGGCTTTTGTCTCTCCTTACCAGTTCTTATTTTTCTTGCAAGCACATGCATGAAACTATGGTATCAGAGCATAGGTAGATAATTCATTGGGTAGCTTTTGTCTCTCTTTTTCATAATTTCTTATCTACACTTACATGTACTTGAAGGCTTTAACTTTCTTGTCAACCATATTAAACATAAATCTCCAACATCTTCTTCTTCCTTATCATTTAAACATCTTTATCAGAGCTTTGGTAAACAATCCTTATCTTCCTCGCATGCACACATGCATGAAACCATGATATCAGAGCTTTGGTAAACAATCCCTTTCGTAGTGTATGTCTCTCCTTCTGACCGGTTCTTATCTACTTACATGTACTTAAAAGCTTTAAGTTCCTTGTCAACCATATTAAAAATAAATCAGAAACATGGAAAGATGAACAAACGATGATAGAATATCGATCAGTTACATGTCCTTAAAGGCGTTAACTCTTTTTATCGCTCTAGATTCCTAATTTAGATCTCCCTGATTTCTTTCTCAAGAATCTCCAATATATTATTTTTATTTTTATCCTTCATGAAATATAATTTCCACAATACATATGATTTAGTTTTGTTTCCTTCAACTTCTCCTCCTATCTTTTGTTCTCATATGTACTTTACTTTCAAACATCTTCGTCATCTCTTCTTGTTATTTCTTCATATAAATCACATATTTCTTCGCCGAAAACATTTTCATCATGTTAACCACTGTTCATTGTAGCTCTAGCATTTCAAACAGAGTTTGGTACCAATTTGGCATTGTCGAATTCAATATCTCTAAAATTTCTATAATCATACATTGATGTTTTGAGGGTCCTTGCAATTTTCTTCTTTGGTATTAGAGTGTAGGTAGACACTCCATTTGCTAGCTTTAGTCACTTATTCTTGTCGATTCTTATCTTTCATGCAAGCACGGACATAAAACCATGTATAATAACATAGATAAACAATCCATTTGGTAGCTTTTGTCTCTAATTTTGACCAGTTCTTAACTTCAGTATCAACCATATTAATCAAAAATCAGAAACACGTAAGACACAAATTACGATGATAAAATATCGATCAATTAGATGTACCTGAAAATAACTCTCTCTCTCTCCATATTCCTCATCTTTTCTTTTTTTCTTTTTTATTGTTTTTATTTTCTACTTGTTCTTTTTTATCGTTTTTATTTTCTACGTGTTCTTTTTTATTGTCTTCGTTTTTTTATCGTCTCTTTCCCTAATTCTACCTTTTAATTTTTTAATTTTCATTTTTTATCCTTTATCCATTTTTTCTTCTCTTCCATTTTATCTTTTATATTCTAATTTTTTTCCCAATTTATTCTTTCGGATTATTCTTTTTTTTCTATATTGTGCATCTCATTCTTCTTTTTCTATCAAAAAACTTCATCTTCAACAAATCACTAAAACTAATTGTCTTTGCAAACTTTTTAACATTTACAAGAACTACCTCAGGATCTTTACAAAAACAAGTACGATACAACCTTTCTTCTAACATTAGACACAACAACTCCTTTCTTCATTCTCCAATTCACAACTTAAAAGAAAAGAAATTAATACAATCCAATTTTCAGTCATCCCACAACAATGGAAATTTATGTCCAAAAGCAGAGTACATATAAAAAATGATGAGGTTACGCAACCCAAACGGAAGAGACCAAATTAATAAGAATCTTGACCAACATAACCGGTATCATATCAAAACAACATACAGTAAAACCTTTATAAATTAATAATGTCAGGATTATGATATTTTATTAATTTATTACGATATTTATCTTATAGAAAAAAAAATTTTCGCCTATCTTTTTCTTAAATATTCTTTCAAATGATGTTATATTTAAAAACATAAACGCATATGCTTATAAAATGACATGCACAAACTTGAAATTATGATTACTAATCATTGCAATCGCAATAGAATAGTTGTTTCCATTTGTTAATTATGGACTGAATTATCTATGTAATAATATAAATATTTATTAGTACAAAATTTTGAAAAATTATGGCTACTATCCTTAATGTTGGTGCTGAAATTGAAAACAATATCATAATATATTGTGAAACAGTTACGCGTAAGAAAATCAATTATCACATCTAAATTTTTTTCACAAATTTTGAATGGAGTTAAAAAAAAAACAACATTAAAAGTTATTGATGTAAATAAGTAAAGAGATGATTTTCAATAAAATTTCAAACTTAAATAAAAAAACAACATATTAATCATATTTTAGTATATTATAGCTTACCTATATATATACATAAGTTTTATAATTATTAATTTAAGTTTATGTTGAGGCCATATATTTACATGGGAGTTTCAAAAAAATTATTATCTTATTATCTTATCAAATTTGATGGATTTTTACACTTACCCGACTCGGAACCAGATAAATTTATTAATTTATAATGATTATTAATTTATCTAATATTAATTTACAGAGGTTCTACTGTAATCTAAAACAAAACACAAGATTTATGAATCCAAACAAATAAATCATAAACTTTTCATCCACACATCAATAATAGAAAATAGCAAGAAAAAAGAAATTATTTTATTAATTTCAAACTAAACAAAAACGAAAATGAATTCAACTACAAACTAATACGTTTATAAGAAATCCAATAACAACATCCAACATAATAAGCGGAGTGCATTGACTAACAATATCCTAAACACTAAAAAGAACCAAAAAAGGGATTTGACCAAAAAAATCCAAAATATATATCCCGTCAAAAACCACGGCTCAAACATCCACATGATCACCAGGAACCAATCCAAAAGCACAACAGGCAGCCCGAAAAGTGAGACAAACAATGCTGAATATGGTTTTAATATCCTTATAGCAACATGGGCCTCTAACAACATCCAATAGAAGCCTCAAATAATAAATCTTAAATCTCTCCGAACGGGGCAAGACTCCACAACACAATTGGAGGTCTCCATTGGCTACTGTCACGATCCCAAACAAACTTAGAAGGCAATTACGAAGAAATCTAGCCTCGGGAAAGACACGATCATAGTCCATCCATCCTGAGAACTAACTCTGTCCATGACCATAATATAGATCTTCATCACCAGCAAAGGATCTCAGTTTTCTTTTCTTTTTTTGTTGAAAAGGATCTCAGTTGTCTAGAACGATAAAATGCGAGCAAATAATGTGACTTGTGTTGAGTATATGAACCAATAAGCAGAAAAACATCTCAGGTCAGCCCCAACATAAAACGAAAAAACAAAGTGCACCAAACCCGCTTAATATGTAAAACATAAGTGCGATAAACGAAGACAATCACCAAACTAAAGACGAACAAAAAAAAATAAAAGGAAACGTTACCATATTTCGACATAGCCGTAAAACTAAACAATCACCGATCAAAGCCGCAAAACTAAACAATTACCGATCAAGGCCGCAGAACTAAACAAGTCCAC